AATATACAGTACAGCAAATATCTTTCTGCAGCACATACACTAAAGGTGAAAAGTACATATTTACATTCAGGTGCCATAAATCTGTTTCTGAGGAGATCCTGCAGACCTGAAATGGATATGACAACTTGAGATCCAATTAGGCTGAATTCTTCCTGTCTTCATTGTAGCTACGGTAGTTTCTTGCAAATACAATAAACATAACTGACTAGAATTACCGCTCCTTGGTTGAATGCGTCTGCCGACCAATCAAATTCATGGGTATGAAACAGAAGTGAGGCCACTGAACTTGGCCTTTGACCACAATCATCTTGGAGTCCAAGTGGACATTTGCGACAAATTTGAAGAAATTCCCTCAAGGTGTTACTGAGATATCGCATTCACAACAGCCATATGGACGGCCAGCCCTAAGACATGATGCCTCTGAGCACAGCTATTGCTGGTGCAGAGGCTGTTTGTGTAGGTTGCGGCATAGAGTCACTCACCCATATAGACGTTTTCTGTGGAATCTCCCTTTCTGACCACCAGTTTCAACTGCAAGACGACAAAGTTGTTAAGCAAAAATGAACTATGGTGTGTGTATGTGTGTGTGTGGCAGTTGAATGCAGGGTTTCATACCTGCAGAAAGATACTGCCCACTTTCTGAATCTCACTAGTGCCGACAGTCACTGTGGAAGTCAGAAAACCTACCATGAAACTCACCAATGAGATCACAAACAAGGACACATTTCTGTTTTTAAACTTTATTTTCCAAAAGTCTGTTTCAGTAAAAAAATGCATCAGTGATTGTTCCTCAAAGATTCCGTTTTTGAAAGTAAATTTTGCCAACTCAGTTTAATCGTTTTTGTTACTTCCTAAAGTTGCATTAATTATATTTAGTTTTCTTAAATATTATTTGCCTTCTCTTTAACTTAAAACTCTTGCTGCTGATTGTCAAATAAAGGAATAAAATAACAATGAATAAACTGACTGTGTGTAATGGAAAAGGTGTTGCTAAAACCTTTTAGGTCTGTCAGCCTGTTTTTAAGTTTATCTTCCTTCTAGTGGCCAAAAACTGATAAATGTGGCATTAAAAATCACTTGTGTGCAAAGATGTAATTATATTTTTATTGAGCAATTTTACCTGTATTTTACACAGCCTCTTGGTACTTTAGCTGGTTCATGTACAGAGGCCACAACAAAATGTACATAAACTCAAAAACACCGGGATATTTTTTATACACTTTATTAACATTCAGCATAGCATGAGGTATCACTGAATACCAATCTGAGACACAAGTCTCCACAGATGCCTGACCGGCAACATGCAGAGATGCAGTCTGTCTGTCTGGCTGGAGGTTTTGCATATCAAAAAACAGCACAGTTAAGTTGACTACAGTCCCTTTACTCCCCACATAAACTGAAGCACAGTGTGTTTTAATATGAAGGACAGGTCAACAATAGCTTAACGTGATGCTAATAACTCTCCTGTCCTGTGTATTAGCATTTCTATCACATGCAAGTCTTGAGAAGTCATTAGACGATAGACCTCGATAAATTTGTACATACTGATGCAAGGGCCATGCTAATGACTATGTTATTGCGCAGTGCTAATGAATATGCACTGTATGTTTGAGAGGACAGAGTACTGCAGCCCTCCCAGTGTGCTTAGAAATAGACTTGAACCTATAATTTCAAAAGCTAAATTTGATGTAACCTCTGGTTTTGGTTTGTCTTACCTCCAAACTTCCACTCCATGTCAACCAGCTGGTGGACCATAAGGGTCTGTCCGACAGCAAGTCGGGACAGAGCTGCATAGTGCTCCCCCCACTGCAAAGTACCATTTCAAAGAGTCAAATTCCTCTTGTGTCCGACACACCTGGCCAATAAAGCTGATTCTGAAATGTCAGCAAAGCCTCCTGTGGCTGCCAAACAGTTTCTGGCATGAAAGGAAAGCATTTTGTGGAGCCTTTACAGAAAGCTAAATAAAATGTGATCCTGACCAGTTCAGTGGCTCATCAGCTTGTCAACAATTAACTTCAGGGGATTTTTTGCCACAATTATCTGATAACTTGTAGAGTCTGTCCAATACAGACAAATTAATGACTTTTCATCAAGGAAGACGTTGGAATGTCCCTTAACCCTCTTGTTCCTATCTCCATTGAGTATTGAACAAACACAAAAGCCTTTTCCAGTGTTATATTTATTGCACCTAAAATAAAATCAAAATAATACCAGGAATTTAAAAAATGTTACCTGCTGTGAGAAATGAGCCGCCTTGTCCTTGTTTAGTCCTGAGGGAAAAGACAGGGCAGGTCAGATTTCATGCAGGGCATTGTTACGATAATGAATAGGAATGCCCTGAGAATTCATCCTTCTTAAGACCTTTTAACATGACAGGGCATCATAAGAGAACACCATTCAGCAGCTATACTCAACTCGTTTTACAATTGACCCTGTTAATGATTGACAGGGCGATGAAGGATTTGGATGTGTACCTAATGTCACAAGATCTTCCTCAATCTGCTCAGCTGTCAGGTCTTTCTTCAGGGCTCCTGGGGAGAAAACATGGGAATCACTGTCAATGAGATGGAAACATTCCTGTAGCTGCAGCTCAACTTTCATGAGTGTCACGGCTCCCAGGCTACACTGCAGACCACACCCTGGCTGATTTGCATCTTCTCAGAAATGTAACTGCTCATCAGGTTTTTGATCAAAGTTTCAAAAAGGTGTTTATTCAACTGTATGATCATCTTAAAATATGTAGTTTTTGGTCTGTTGTTCTGGATAACGTAGGCTATCAATAACCGAAGTATGTGAGGCAGGCAGTGAGACAGAGAAGACAGCAGCAACAAAATTCCCACTAACACCTAGAAATATGTCCATGCAGATTCTCAGTCATCGAGGTCATAGTAAGCTGAAAAAGCATAAAAAAACCAGTCCAGTTGATTTTTTTTCTACGTTTTTTCAACCTAGGAATATATTGCCAGGTTTGCCTTCATCTCAGAGGATAAACTGTTCAACAGATGGATGGATATGTGTGTCTCCCACCCTGTGGCACGAGGAGGGCGCTCTTCATCAGGTTCCTCAGAGGACCACTACTCATCCCCTGTTCACTTGCAAATTCAGTGAGCTGCTGCATAAACCTCTCCGTCTACACACAGACAAATCCATGCATTAATTTGCATTTGCATGCGCACGCACACACACACACACACACACAATATGATGGACATATTTTTGGCTTGGTTCAGTTATTAAGACTAATCATTGAGTCCAAAGTCCCTTGATGTGTGTGTGTGTACATGTGCTCACCTCTTTAGGCTCCAGCAGGAACTGGAAGAGAATTTCAATCAGACAAAGAAATTGCTGCCCAAAATGGAAAAAATGAAAGACTGGGTTAATGTCTGGATGTTTAGCTGTCTTTGGTTAGTTACAAAAAACCCCTGTATTTCAAGAAAGGCAGAGTTTTATCCATGGCAGACCCTAAAGTATGATCAGGAACACATGCGCATCTCATGCGTGTCCAAATTGATATTGGATTAGCATTTGTTGGATATGTGTAAAATTATGTGTGTTGACATATCAACTGTCTTTACATGCTTGAAAGAATAAATCAAATCAATCAATCCCTCGTCTATGTCTGCATACACATGAGGGTATGCAAAAAGTCTGATTAGCCCTTAACAGAGTTTCAGTTCTCTGTAGAGATGGGAGAATGTGCTGGAAGAATGACCATCTCAGTAGCCCTCCATCCGACAGGCCTTTATGGTGGAGTGGCTATAAGAAACTCACTTTGACTAAAAGCCATTAGCAAACATTTTCAGATTTATTCTTTTAAAATTATGGGAAACCAGAGTGGTTTGCCCACAGGGCAGTACTTACAAGTTCACTTTTAAATGACGCATTCAGTATGTATATGAGTCATATTTCTTTAAAGCAGCTATAATCAATATATTTTTATAAAAAATGTTTCAAATGACATTATGAAATGAGCTTGTATTGATGAACCAGCAAATGAATTATCACCAAAATCACTGCCCAAAAATCTCAGTTACTGCAGGTTTAACAAACAAATCTAAGAAATCTGTATCAAGATTGTTCGTCACATGTATATTCTGTATATAAAAATGGACACAACACCACCACTTCCTGCCACTAAGCAAAGGTGAAGCCAAAATATCCATTGATGTATTAGCCTAATGAAAACTTGGATTCCAGGCTGAAATATGGCATCTAGTCACTTGAATGAAAGGTGCTCGCCTGGCACATAAGCCAAAAAAAGTCTCTTCTGAGTTTGTTTTTGCATTATGGGTCCACTGCATGTGCACACTTGTGTGCATTAGTGTCTCCACCCCTGTGCTTGCTGGCCCATAAACTTTACATTAGGATGATGTCATGAAAATAAAACTCTGTTTCCTAGGCTCTGAAAAAGTTTTACCAATACAGAACCTCCACGGATTAAAAATTCAACAATACAAAGAGCGATAATTAACCTCATTTATAATTCAATGTGTCCTATTAACAGACACCGATCAGCCATAACACTGTGAGCACCTGTCTAACACTATTTACATAGGAATGTGGCAGTTGGTCGGCACTCGTGTCACTCTACAGCTCACTGTGCATCTTTTCCATTTCTTTCCACAGTTGTACTGTCAGGAAGAGAACAGGCGCGTCTACAATTCAGTAAAAAACTTCAGTAAAAGGAGGAATTGTTGAGACAAATTCAGCAGCCTCACCACTCTAGGTGTGATATCACCACTACAGCCCCTGACTCTTTCTCTTCATAGAGACCAATGTACAGTGTTTCTCATTTTCAACCATTTTAACAAAGATTCAAATAAATTTTAATCTTTTGAAAAGTACAAATGGAAGTTAAAAGTTTAATCTACAGTAGGTCAACCTGATCATCAGTGAGCCGTGGGCGTCCATGACCATTTGTCCTTCCTTAGACACTGTTGGTAGGTACCAACCACTGCAGACCAAGAACACCCACCAAGACCTGCAGTGTGGGAGATGCTCTGACCACCATAGTTTGGCCCTTGTCAAAGTCACTCAGATCCTTATGTTTTTCCTGCTTCTAACTTTGAGGACTGGATGTTCACTTGCTGCCTAATACACCCCACACACTGACAGGTGCCACTGTAACAGATAGTCAATGCTATTCACTTCACCTCTCGGTGGCCATAATATTATGGCTAATCAGTGTACGGTCACTATGTTCAATGAAGAAAATGCTTTTTGGGCCCCTGGTGCGGCGTTGAGATCTGTTCCCCCAACAAGATGTGTTTACTCTAAGCTTATCCTAATCCTAACACCTAACCACCGTTAAGGGTTTGGGTTGGGGAGCACAGATCTCGACACAACACCGGAATGAGCTAATATACCTAACTCAAAGCAAAACTACGACAGTGATAACTTTACTACACCATAATTTACACTAACGTTATAAGCTATATGTGGACCGTTATGTTACGTTTTATGATAAAATGTAACCAACATATACAGTCCACTGTCACATGATTCACATGAGATGTCACAGTCAACAGCTCAGGAATAATGAGCTAATTCCGCTCATTCATAACCAAGCTCCATCAAAGTTACTAACAAATATACTTGAAGAAGAATTAAACCTCATCTGAGCTCAGAAATCCAGCTCGACTAGGCAATCTGCTGCTGTTACGCTAGTCCTCTGAATAATAAAGCAGGCGAGATAAATCGTGTTATATTTACCTGCTCGTTGAATTTGTTCAAGTTCTGAAAGTCTGTGCTCACAGCGTCCGGTAAAACATCTTTAGTGAAGTGAAGGTGCATGGTTTAATCTGGAGAGTTTCACTGAAAACCACGAATATATGGTGAAAACCCTTCAGAGTTATTCTGCTGTTATGGAGCCCGTTTCCGGGTTATTTAGTGCGCATGCGTACTACTGCTCGGTCAGCCACTTGGTGCTAAATGATCCAAATCGGTGCAGAGGCAAAAGAATAGGCATCACATTTAACCCTCTAGACATTTGTAATATTATAATAACAGTGTTATTGTGTTATTACATTATAATCAAAAGTGCGAAGTAACAATAGACATTTACTTGAGACTACTGTACCAATTATTATGTTCTATAAATTGTTAGCCTACTTCAGTATTTTGATTGTATGCCACTTTATACTTTATTTTTTTACATTTCAGAGCTTCTCATCGCATTTATTTGACATTTAAATTTACTTTACAGGTAAAGCTTATGATCAACTTATACAATTTCATGCATATTTATAGATAAAAAATGTAAAATACTATAGTGTATGGTGGTTAAAACCCATTCACTGAAATTTGGACCCATACAACAGAGTTTATTTAAAGAAATGGTGAATTAGTGTCAGTGCCACCTTGCTGCCCTCAGCCTGTTGGTACTGCGTACTTTGCTGTCTGTTACATGTTTTTATCTTGCCAGTTTGTCTTATTAGACCTGTATATATTTCACCATGGTCTTATTTTGATTGTGCTATAGTTCTTGTGGCTTTATATTTGTTCTCTTCTCTTGAATATTTGAATTAGTGTCTTATGCTGTTGTATACATTATGAGTTTTGCTGAAAATTGGAAACTGTATTTTAATATTTTGTATGACCTCTAGTAATGTTAACTATGTTCTCAGTTTCCCATGTGTTTATTTATATTGTGATACCCTGTTTTAATATTTACATGTTTTATTTGTAGGTGCAACTCTGTAACATGTGCCCAGGGACTACAAATGAAAATGGCCATTTACAGTAATAGTTATTAATGTCAGTATTTTTACACAGTGGTATTATTACTGTTACTTAAGTGACTTCTCCCACCACTTTTATAAAAGACTTCAGAAACACTGGGCATTACACCACAGGCCATGTGGGTCTGCAGAGAAAAAAGGGGGGCAGGGAGAAAAGGATGAGATAATCAAAAGCTTGCAGAGATTGAAGTGAAGATCAGTGGGAAAGAGGATTATGGAGTCCAGTCTGGTTGTCGACAGTGTAAGCTATTTTTCCCAGTTCTCTTAACCAGGAACTCAGAGAAACGAGGCGGTCCAAGTGGATACAGCTGACCGTAGCAGTAGTCAAAACATGGAGAAAATCAATGTGTGTGAATGTTGATTAAGTGGTGTGTATCTAAGAACATACAGGACATTCAGGGACATGTCCGGACATTAAGCCTAGGACGATATGATTAAGATTACGGCTAAACATATCATAATAATAACAATAATCATCCTGTCTGCGGACAGTCAAACTTTCCTATCTAGTTGTCCTTGACCATATGCACCCTGCAAAAAACTCATAAGAATGACTAAGCATTTAACAGCCTACCTAGACATCCTGTCTCCACTAAACATTTCTAATACAACAAGTGTCTAACCAATTTCTATCTGACTAAAAAATACCTAACAACAGGATGTGAGAAGAAGTGTTGGAGGGAGGTAGACAAATGAGAGCTGGCAGCTTTCAGTGAAACGTGGTGGAGGGTCTGTCATGGTGTCAGTTCTTCAAGACAGTCGCCACAAAAGAGTTCAAGCTAAGTGGAAAGAGAGTTTGCACTAAATACTGACTTTGGACTAGAAATCATTTGGTTCTGAAATTAATATGGGGTACATATTTCCTGTATTTCTTGGTTGTATCTTAATAAAGATAGAAATAAATATAAATTATCATTATGACCTTGCTAAAACAGTTAAACTAATGGTGGCCTAAGACTTTTGCATAGTAGGCTAATATAAACCTGGCATGCTGCATATTTTTGTTTTCAATACTTTCAGAATCAGAATCAGAACCAGAATCAGCTTTACTGGCCAGGTGTGTTGGGCAATTTGACTCTGGTACAGTGGCTCTGCAATGAGTAAGCAAGATAAGGCTGAGAAAACATAAAAGAATAAATGTGCAAACAAGAAAAAGGAATGTGCATTAGGACAATAAAAATAAAGTGCTTATGAAATACAAATGTGTTTTTACACAGTTTAGATGGAAGTTTTAAGATAAATATATACAAAGGTGTATTTACAAGGTACTGCACTGAGGATTGTCCTTCTGTCATACAGTCATGGGTTAACTGTTCATCAGAGTGATGGCTCAGGGAAGAAACTGTCCTTTTAGTAGCCTACGTTTTACTTATTTTTCTTAATTTGTAGGTGCCAGATAAATGCAGTGGAGTAAATCTGCCTCTGTGATATAATGGAGTAGAGTAGCCTACATAAAATGAACAACAGTAACCTATATGTGGGCAAATGTCGTTTGTGTCTTTGTTGTCTTTGTTAAATTATGCAATTTTCCCTTGAGAGCCAATCTCTACTTTTATCATCATTAGGAAAGAGTAAAACGTATTAGAAAAAGTACTGTTAGTGTAGTTTCTGTTCTGCAATAGTAGGTTTCATCTCTCCAGGGGAAAAGGGAAGGTCGGTGTTTCTCCCTCTGTTTTTAATGAACTTCAGTGACGGGAGGCTGGCTGACACTACAGAGAAAGGAGAGTTGAGTGTTGTTGGGGGTGGCAAGGTGACGTCAAACTAGTTCATGTTCACGTTTTTAATGTTAGCCACAGGGGACAGAATATGGGAGTTGACGTTCCCACCTGGGAATGCCTCCATCGCTCAGGGAGACCAATATCCTCATACTTCTTTGTGCAGGTCGACTCTGCATGGGCGGAGCCACAGCAAGTTCACTCGGTGTACAGCGAGGAGAGAGGGAGAGGTTGCTGGGGTGGGGGCGGGGGGTGCACGGCATAGCGCTGCAGCAGCATGCTTCCACAACGTGAACAAGTCGGGCAAGAGGAGTAGACTGACTCCTGATTTGTGCTTAGGTTCAAGGCTGGTTTCCGAACTCTTTTAAATAGCCAGCTTGTTTAACCGGCTTGATTCTACAGCGGACACCTCTTCCTTCACACCTCCCCTGCTTTGGATGAGTGCAAGAAGCGTTAATGGTTAAGTAAGTTTTGCACCGCGGAGGGCGGCTGTTATTATGAATTTATTTCAGGCATTTCCCGAGCTAACTCACTCACCTTTTTATCACATCACTTTTGAAGCCACATTTGATTTAGACGCCGTTTACGCTCTTGGTTCAGCTGTTTTCCTTGATTTCATGGTGCACTGCTGCCCATGTGCACGGTAAACCGAGCTGTGTACAGATGTTGAACCTGATGGAGCATGTTCATCTGCAGCAAGCAGTTAAAACAGAAACCCCCAATCCCCTGCTTTGGATGAGTGCTTTGGAAACTGATCATGTAGACGTGACCAGTGAGTTTGTAGTAAACCTCTAGTGATATGAAAACTTTATTTTCGTATTCCTATAATATATTTGTAGTAATATCAGCGAAATAAACGCACAGAAAGCTACACAGTTACACATGTGTAATGGATCCTCTCCACTTATGCTGTGAAGTATGTGAATAATAGTGTTACAAATACGATGCCAAAGGTAAGGTAACTTCTTTACTTCATAGTGGGATACTTGTATACCCTGTTATCATGTATTTCCATAAGGACTCCCACGTTGCCTCAGGGGCCGAAAAGTGTTTCTAGTTCTTTGTCCGCGCTCTTTCTGGCCTATTATAATGACAAGGTGCTATTGTGTCACGGTGAATTCAGAGATTTTACAACACGCCTGTGGTCCTGTTGTGGGGATAACCGTGGCGCCACGACAGATCTTTCTGCACCTTGTGTGTTTCCTAGTTTGGAACGTGCTCCGGTGTTTGGACACGTACTGATTTCCCGGCTGAACTTCCTTGTAGGATTGTTGCCTGCATAGCGATGGCGAGTTCTTATTCGAGCTGTTCTGATAGACAGGTAGGAACAAATATACCTGCAGACAAATACAACTAGGCCTGTCCTCGTTCATACTGGAGTCGCTACAAGGTGCAGGAAGACGGCGCACGGTGGAAAGTGAAGGGGAGGAGTCATTTGGAAGTAAGACAATGAATGAGAGTTAATTCGGAGGACATTTTTCAGCACAGGCTGTTAAACATCCCATGTTCCAAAACTACATCAGCCACTTGGTATTTTTGCCTAACAGATCATTTTATGTCAGTTGATGAAATGAATGAATTTAGCACTGATGTGGACAAAATATGTTTTTTACATTTCAAAAAATTAAACTTGTTAAGACTGATTCTTTATGTTTAGTATTAGCTGCATTATCATGGTTATCCTGAAGTAGGACTTGGCCCCTGAAAGTCTGCTAGTCATATTATTAGTCACGAGACCCATCAGTTGACTGAGACTCTTCTAGTGAAATCTGTGTTTTATATTTTATTTATTAAGATTTACTCTGGGATGGCACGTTGCCATCACTCATGCAAAGTGAATACCACTTTAGTGCTATTGTGCACTGGTCGTGACAGGGATGTATGGGTAGTAACAGCAGGTGATGGAGTTCATTAATGGGCCTAAAAAAGGTTGAGCAACCTCCTCAGGTTACATTTGTTCATAGATGGACAGTAAGATAGCTAGTAGACCTCAAAGGGAAATTGCAGTTACTGCTGTCACATAAATCACAAAAACAGACCAACGAAGGCAAGAAATGAATTATATCCTATGTAGATTAACAGCTTCATTTACTACATAACTGATTAGTTTGGTCAAGTAAGTTCCTTATAATTTCCAAAACGAGCCATGTGAATTACTATTAATTATGTGAAAACTAGATTAATTGCATGAGCAATTAATTCTGATTAATTACATAAAGGTTTTTTCAGTAAAGGTCTTGGAAGTTAATAGAACATTAATGTGAATTTATACAGGGTCAAACATTCCATCTTTTTTGCCAGGAATCTGTCAAATCTGTGGTTCTTTTATTCTGCGGTTTTCATATGAGTATCATGACAGAAACACACTGAAATTAAACATAATTGTAGTGCACCAGCTTTAATGTAATAAGACAAACCACTATCAACAAAACGTTTTATCATGAAGACTTCTCAACAATCACTGAAAACATTTATATTATATTCTCTGTAACGATTTGTCATTTGTGTACTACTAATGGTAGCAAAAGTACTTGATGGACTAATGTCTCGATAAGTTACAGTAGTCCAGTGGCCAAAGGAGAGTACGGTAGTAAGAGCATATCATGTGTGACTATATAATAGTATGTGGAGTAAATCAGGTGAATTTTACACTCATATATGCATTAGATCCGCATCTGACCCTCTGAGGTAAAGTAAATGGTGGTCCTTCATATATAGCACTAGTGGTGGGTTAAGGTACAACTTCTGTCACATTTTTAACACCTCTGTGCCGCTGATAGTCATCGCTATAGGCGCTGTGTTTTTGGGTTGTCCATCTGTCTATTCTTAGGAACACCTTGGGGGGATTTGTGGTCTCCACTTGGACTCAAGGATAAACTGATTAGATTTTGGTGGTCAAAGGTCAAATGGCACTATATCCTCACGTCTGTCCTATTCTCGTGAGTTTCACTGGTTGTTGGAGGCATACAACTATGAAGTGGTACTTCTAGTTTTTCTTCTTGACTTTGTTGGGTGGTGCAGTGTTGAAAATATCATGTTATAATGAATTCAGTGATAATTGACTTCACCCATAATTAATTCAATGTGTTTACCCAGAGGCTGTCTCTTTGGTTGGTGAGCGATTCACCACATTTAGTTTTCTGCAAGATGTTCGTGCAGACTCTCAGTCATCCAGGTCATAGGAAGCTGAAAAAACTTCAGTTCAGAACTGACGAAGCCTCTTGGATGAGAGGTGAAACGTCTTCGACCTAAAAACCTGGTCCAGTTGATTTTTTTCTATGTTTTTTCAGTTTGCAGCAAGGTTTATACCCACCTAAACATTTCTAAGTCTGAAGTGTGGGCATATTTTGTTTTTTACACAAGTTCTGAGACTTTTTTGAAGATGGTTACCCTATCTGAAGAACATGCTGAAAAAATATCTGTGAAAGGATGCAACACTTCAAATCTTTTGAGTCATCTTTCTGATCATCACCCTCTTCTGTAAATGAAGTTCTAGCTCAGTGCATGATGTGAGTACTTTGGAATGGGGCAAATGGTTTGTCATTAAGCTTTCAGTGTTACCTAGTCTTGTAAAAACATTTCACGTTGTTCTGCTGCTGTATGTGTCGTGTAGAAGGCAATAGAAGGTAGCCCCAGCCAGTAGTTTGTCTTCTTCTCCTCACTTTGGTGTGCTAAGCAGCAATTTACTCAGTACTTCCCCCTGTGGTCGGGGGGAATACCCACTTTAAGTGTGACACTGTTTGATGCATGGATGCATTAAGGTCTGATGACAATATTTAGCAAATTGCCCAGAATGAGGAGAAAAAGACTAAATCTAGTGGGACAAGACACATGAAGGTGAGATTTGTACTTTATTAGAAGTGTTGCCAAACATTGTAGTCTGCTGTTACAAGAGAAAAGACTTTAATGGTTGCAACAGTTTGGTGGTGGTTTTTTATTTGTGTGTCCGGGTTGTTTGCCCATCTCCCTTAAAGTGTAACACACAGCTGTTTCTATAACATGCATCCATCTGAATGGGAGTAGGAAGCCAACAAAAATAAGCTGGGAAAACATTTCAGTCAGGAATTGTAAATCAGATGAATCATAACTTTATATTCTCATAATCTTTAGCAGTGCAAGTTGGCACGCATCAAATGTAACAACATGTGCTGGTTGTTAACTGATGAGAGAAGCTGAAACTTCATGCCAGTTGATTTTCTGATAGTCTGGGCTATTTAAAAAAAATGAATGGTCGAGCATTTGCACAGCCCTAGTTTAATGGACATTTGATACGCTTTCCTACGTTTACAGAAGGCCATGGCTATTGGCTATGTTACTTTTTCAGTGTTTATATATACACAATACATAGTGATGCAAATAATTATGTGTGTTTTTTAGAATTAAATGAATGATTTCCCTTAGTGTAAATACTTTTTGAACATTTTCAACACATTTTAACAGCACTGTGATAATTTTGATAATTATGGTCACTATAATACTGATGTTAAATTTTCATACCATCACATCTCTACTTGTGTGTCTTAAATGCGACTTTATACTTTAGTAGACCTTGTTGGTGTGGAATAGGCTCAGTGTCCATTGTAGTTTTCCTTTACGGTTGAAATCTATTTGACAGCTAATCTGAGTCTAGTGTAATGTAATGGTTAAGGAGAAAGAGTTTCCTTAAAATATTACCTGTTATCTCTTCAAGTCAAACAGCTCCCACTCGTATACATTAATCATTACAGTTGATCCACTGATATTTATTCCAAATCCAGAAACCTTTCTCTTCTTTTCCCCAAATTTATCATCTGTATTCCTGACTGCACGGAACTCATTGGAATGTTTCCTAGCTAAACAGAATGTTAGGGACAACTGATAAAGAAAACACTGACCTTTCATAATGATAGTTAATATTAAACTGGTATTTAATGTGGATTGGTTATGTAATGCCTGATGCCGTGATAGCTAATTCACCTAAAAGGGTTGGTATCGGTGCTGATACTTATCAAATCTGTGCATCCCTACACAGTTATAATCACCTGACTATGTTTTCATTAGAGATGCACCCATTGATTGGTGGAGATCAGAAATGGTTTTCAGTGGGACTGACCTTGACCAGTGGCCGACTGGTCATTCTGAGATTTCTGATTCTGTGTTTGTCATATTTAGAGGCACGACAGTTCACATTGTGCGCACAGTGGCACAGACCGAAAGTGTGCAGCGAATAGTATCTCACGTGCACCTCTGTTGAGACTCGTGCTTGTGTCTATACCGGGTGTGTGTTCACAAGTGCATTGATGCTTGGTGTACAAATAGTGCACAGTGGACGCTACAGAAACACCTTGAAGAAGGGGAAACTACGTCTGAATGAGTGCACAATGAGGGGATTACTGGCTACACGTGAAATGTGTATGTACAGTGCATTAAGTCTGTGGTAAAACATAGCAAATGCAAATTACACACACTTCAATAAGATCTGTGT